CTGGAGATGAATGTTCAACTCTACTCTAGAGTAGAATAAAGTCCGCGCTAGAATAGAGATAAGGGCTGGAGATGGTCTTAGAAAAAAAAAAAAAAAATCCATTAAAAAACGAAATATTAAAAAAAAAATCCATCAAAAAAGAGAATATTTATAATTTTAAAAATATTATAATAAAAAGTTACTAGTACAATACTCGTGTACTAAACATATAGTTGTTAAGAAAAATATACTTCAAATTAAATAATTATAACAACAAAAATTGTTTTAGTTTTTTATTACTTTTTAAAAATGTATTATTATTTATATTTAAATTGGCACTGTCACTTACACGACTTACTATCTTATATTATATATTATTTAATTTATATCAGATAACTACTTTGAAGTTAAGTTAGTTTAATAATTATATTTTTTTGAATTAATATTAATAAATAATTTAATTTTAATTGTAAAAAAATAATAATAGTTAACTATTTTATATGTATAATATAGATGTCAAACCAAAGTTAATCAAGACATGTTTAATTTGATATATTATATATAAAAATTTAATTGATGTGTATAAAAATTAATATATTAATCATTTTGATAGTAACATTCAATTTGGAAAAGTAAGAGATTCCAAAACAAATTTTAAGACTATATTAGTCATACGAACAACAATAACTAATTTACAAAACAAATTAGGTTATATTAGTCAATGTATTATGAAATTACCCAAGTTAAATTTTCAACATTTATGGAATGTCCAAACCTAAAATTATTGATTTAGAATAATATTTTTATCCAAACAAAATTATGAAACATGATTTTTAGATATTGAAGCGCGCGAGCCTGCCACTTGAACTGAGCGCATTATGAAATTATATATAGGGGATTTATTAAACAATCAATTCAAATTTTAAATCAATAAATGACTTATCTCTCTCTTTAAAATATTTTTCATTATTTCTCTTTGTTCTCTCTTTTTTTTTTCTCCTTCACGTTTTTTTCTCTTCTTATTCTTCTTCTTCTTATTCTTATTCTTCTTCTTATTCAAACATGAATGCCTAAAAAAACACAGACAAAAATAATCGATTGATTATATACATATCTAATGATGACTAACTGAAAAGCAACCCAAATATATATTATAAAAACAACAAACTACAAAAAAATAGAGTTCTAGTGAAGAATTTTTGTCACTATATCTACTGACAGTATATCCACAATTGTTGTTACTATATCTACCATTATTGTCACTATATCTACAATTGTAATGGTAGATATAAATAATTGTAGATATAGTGACAATAATGGTAGATATAGTGACAATATATCTACAATTATTGTCACTATATCTATTGTCACTATATCTACAACGATTGTAGATATAGTGACAATATTGTCACTATATCTAAAATCGTTGTAGATATAGTGACAGTAGATATAGTGACAACAATTGTAGATATAGTGACAAAAAAAATCTTCACTAGAACTCTATTTTCTTGTAGTAAAATAATATAACTTCTTTCAAGCAACATAAAAATACTATATGTAAGCATTCAAGTATCAACCGTCAACACTTCTCGATTCATATTTATAGGAAGAGGTTCATAGGTAACCCTTGATGGTCTCTCTCTTTTAAGTGCCATTTTGTTGACAGTTGGGTTCGTCAATTAATATTAATTATAGTTTACGGGGTGAATTAATCGTGTGTTTCTTGAATGAATAATGATCGAAACGAATATTGTGATAATAAAGGAAATAAAAAAAGAGTAAAGACGAAAGATTTAAAAGCACAATGTATTTTGTCAATCTTTTGAGTGATCGACAAGGATAATTAAAAATTTATATGGGAAAGTGTATTAAGTAGAATGTCTATTTGTGGTTGTATTGTGCCTCCCTCTTTGATGGGGCTTGAGTAGGGGTGAGCAAAACCGAACCGAAACCGAAAAACCGAACCGAACCGAACCGATGTATTCGGTGCGGTTCGGTTCGGTTTTTTAAGATTCGGTTTTCGGTGCGGTTAAACTTTTGGAAAACCGCACAAGTTTCGGTGCGGTTCGGTT